ACACACACACACACACACACACACACACACACACACACACACACACACACACCATTGGATACCATTTAGAGGATTTATCTGTAAAGGAATTCCTTGCCTTGTTTTCCTCTTATTTGTTCAATGCCTTCCCATGAGATGTACAGGTACACAGCCTTTACATGCTCATTTCTACCAACAGTTCCACTGTATACCTGAGCAAAACCCATCATTCAATTGCCCTTTCAGAGTACCCACAGTGTAGCTGGCATCTGTTAGTCCCAGCTGTGCTGCAGGACCCTATATAGAAATATGCTGAAAACTAGAACTTGACCACAGAGGTTGAATCACCCTTCACTACCGTCTACTTCAAGCATCAAAACCACGAAGAAATGAATCCAATTCCTTTTCACATTTCTGTAGTTCAAAGGTTGGGCCATATATTTTGCTTCCCATTTTAATGACTTGTACTAATTCACAAATGAGTGTAAGTCTTCCTTTGTCCACAACCCACAGTGTTTCTTCAATAATTTTAGTAGCTTAAATATGCTTTAGGAAAGCAGAGTCAACTCTGGCCCCCAACAGACTCATAACCTCACAGGCTCAACTCCTCCAAGACCCAGGCCTTTGAAGGCTCATGCAGTCGTAGAATCAATCCCTCACAGCCTTGGACCCTCACAGATTCTACCCCTCATAAAACCAACCCTTCAAAAGCTCAACCTCTTATGGACTCAACTCCTCCTGGACTCAACCCATCACAAATCCAGACCCCCGGGGAAATATAAAAAAGACTGAGATGAGTACCACAGAACCAAGTAAGCTCTCTCTACTAACGTGTCTTGACCTGATATGTTTATTTTATTCTTTTGTTTACTATTCTTCCCTCTATAAGATTCATGAAGCACTTTTTATGTGGGACATTGGGAATATCGAGGAGGAAAATGTGGTTCCCAATCCCTGGGAAGCTCAGAGGGTATTCCAACTAACCTAAGTTCCTTCCCCAAAGAGAGAACGCTGTCTGATCTGCAAGCTCACGCACCTTCATCTTTTCCTCATTGACCTCTCTGGTTAGAGCTGTCGAGATGTTGTGCAAGAGCTCTACCACCACAGCAATGTTCCCTGGCATTCGGGGAGACTTCTGAATGTTTCTGATGATGCAAGACAAATCCTTTGGGCATTTTTCCATCAGCATATCTGTTATGGTGCGAGATTGTCTGTGAGTCTCATGGAAAGCTACAGTTGATTCTGATGATTGAACATTGGAAAATAATTCCACACCCTCCTGAAACAGGACCAAAGTAAAGAAATCCTTTATTAGTTTGTTAAATACAAAAGCACTTTTGCTAGAATTTAGAAGAGTCCTACTATACAATTGTATATCACGTAATATGCTTTCATGTTCCATTTTCAAAGTAGTATCTAGAGTGAAATAAGTTGACCAATACCAAGTTGTATAAAGCAAAATATAAGTCTGAATTTCCCAACTGGTGGCTCTCTAGCCATGTCTTCTGAAACCGCAACTGTTTTCTTTAGACACTTGTTGTGTATGTACATTTAATGTATAGCTTATATATTTACATGGATTCTTATTGCCATTTAACTTATCTTTACATTCTCAAGAGGTGAGCCAAGAGACACCATGTTTTGTTTTTTAAATAGCAGGAGCTAGAGAGATGGTTCAGCAGCTAAGAGTGGGTCCTGTTCTTGCAGGACTCAGGAGTCAGTTCCCAGAACCCACATCAGGTGACTCACAGCTTCCCACAACTCCAGCTCCAGGAAACCTGAGGCCTTTCCAGGCACCCACATCATATGAAGATCCTGATGGGACTACAGCTTCTCACCTAGCAAAGTGTGAGGTGCAGCCCAAATTTCATGGGTCTAACAAGTTTGGGGGAATATTACTAGTCAGTGAAATACACTATGAGTATCAAAGCTTTGGGCTATTTCAAGGGCTGAGGGCAAAGATGAAGAACTTGGTCGTGATTCTAGATTCTTTTAGATGCTTTTCCTTGCTCTGCCTAAGTGACCAGGTTCCTTCATGTCATTCAGGATGCAGGATATACTACACAAACTTTCAGATGCACCAAGTGAAGAGAGAGGAGATAGGTAGGTATTTATATATTCATGGAAAAACAACCCATTGCTACCCTGGAAGCCTCTCTTTTCCCTAAGTGGGCAATATGATCACCTGAAGTTTACTCATGGAGCCTGTGTGAGAATCCTGATACAGAAGAAAAGACATTACCTCAAAGATGCTGATGGCATTAAGGGTGTGACAGGTTTCAGTGACTTTGTGCCATGTCTTGGCCTTACAGGCAAATTTCACGTTGCCCTCACTTTCTGGAGGGCAAGATTGAAAGCAGGGGGCAGTGTTGTCCTTACAGACACCATCACATACATCTGGGAAAATAAAAGGCATCCATATCAGATAAAAAAGGTCTGAGGTCATGGCTGCTCAGCCATTCAGTAAGGTGTCACTGTGGCAAAGAGACGTCAATTCTGTAGACACGGATATCTTTTCTCAGTAAGATTGAAGATGATTGAAAATGGGTTAGCAGACATGGCATAGTTCTGAAACAAGATCCTGTTCCTTCTGACAGAACCACACACCAAATTCCAATGTATAAAACTGACTACGGTATAAACTCCTCCCATTAAATAAGAGGGACGAACCCATGGGTTACCCTACTGAGTCACCCTCTCCCATGCCCACAGAGCCCCCTAAAGATCTCCTAGGAGTCCTAGAGACACCCAGGTCAGCTCTCATTTGGAATTTACTCCCCCTGATGTTCCCAAAAAATCTTCCTGGTCCAGAACTTTATAGCAAGCTCCATGGTCAATGAGACCCATTCTAGTCACTGCCCTGGTTTGAATTAGCTCAATGAGAATCACAGTAAAGAAGTCTGAGACTAGGTGGAGCAGAGGAGTTGGGAAAATATGAATATGGCTGGGGCTAAAGACACAATGGACTTGCATGTAAATAATCAAAGTACAAATGTAATCTATCAAGGTGTCTCATCTCTCACGCCATGAGCCGAAGGGCTGAGAGTTGCCTGCTCTCACAACTGGTGATCAAACTTCTGTGTGATTGGTAACTGCTGCCAACATACCACGTGGCCTGGACATCACCTTCTCCTTGCTTTTGCTGGTGGCCTGAAAAGAGACAATAAAAATTCTCACAAAATCAAATGTCAACAGGTGATACCACTGGTTTATTTTAATCACAGACAAACAACCATATCCGAGTCAGCCATGATGCAAACACAGTCACCGAAAGTCCAGCTGTTGCATATGCCCAATGACATTTCCTTCTACTTTTCCTCCCCAGTGCCAGGCAGTGGGATTGTCCCCTCCTCCCCGTCATAATTCTCTATCATTACAGTCTATAGTCTGCACATAAACTACATTTTGGGCAGAGGGAAGTTTACTAGGAAGTTCATGAAGACTTACTTCACTTGTATGGGCCCCATTGAATCCTGGGAGAAGGTCATGACACATGATCACACGTTCACATGAACTTATTTATCATATTTTCAAAGACAAAATATTCTAACTACCTTCCATCTATTGAGATTATCAATTTTTGTCACTCCGTCTCACCCCTCCTCCTTCACACTCTGTACTGTTTGGGGTATCACTAGAGTGGTGCATTTATTAATGAAATCTAGACAAGGAGTTGAGGGAGGACCACATTTCTTTGGATTTAATAGGATACATTTATATAGTTTACAGTCACTTCTAAATTACAAGAACATCAACCCTTGAAGGTCATTAACTCAAAATGATTTACAGGTGGCCACAGAACAGCACAACAACAAATGTTGAGTGCCCTGACATCCTGCAGCTCTTTGGAAAGAAACTTGAAGTTTTCCCAACTTTCATAGCAATCCTACATATTTACATAAAACTGCTAATAACAAGTGGGAAAACTAAAAAGTGTTGTTCCAAACTAGCTGCAATAAGAGGAAGTGTAGGACAAGGCAAAAGGGAAGAATGGGGAGCTGGAGAGATGGCTCAGCATCTAGAACAGTACTAGGTGTTCTTCCGGAGCTCCCGGGTCCAGCTCCCAGGACCCACATGGCAGCTCACAGCCTTCTGTAACTGCAGCTCCAGGACCTCCTAGGGCACCAGGCACACACGTGGTGCATAAATATACACGCACACAAAACACCCATATACATAAGATAAATGTTTAGGTTTTTAAAATGATAGAATGATCTTTTTATTATCTATATAGAAGAAATTATAAGCTCATCTGTATGTAAAATGTAAGAAAAATGCAAGTACAGCTCATGAATTATTACGTATTACTAGTATTATTTTTGCTGAATGCACTACTAAATAATGTTGAGTATTTACTGGATACAAATCCTTTAACCAATTCTGTTTGAAATTTATTTTGATTCCTTTGCTCATTCTAAGAAAATACTCATGTTTATTTTGTATTTTATGCTACTCTTCTTTAAGGGAGCGGCTCCCACCCCACCCACCCATGCACATCTGGCTATCTTGAGAAAATGGTCTAGGAAAAGCCCACCAGCCCACCTGGGCTCAAATCCTGAACCGTCTCCTTAGGAGGGAACGTTCACCTCTCTATGCCTCCATTTCCCTGTCTGTAAGCAGAATAGACATTACTGCTTTTGTGGGGGAACAAATGAGTTGACACATGAGAAACTCTTAGGGCCACCCTCAAAAGTGTGAGATCTGTTTATGGTTTGGCTGCTGGGATTATTCTGATACTGAATAGTGATTACATCGAGCTCGTGTTTCGCCCTTTCAAGCTGTCTTTTCTGATGGAGTTCTAGATGCTCTAACTCTCCCTCTGCCTTAGAAGGACTTGTTACCCACATTACCATACAACACTGCCTAGCCTCCACTCACCTGCCTGCTACCTCGATAATCTTTTCCATGTTATGTTCTCAATTAAATTTTAAGTCCCTTAAAAACATGATTGTGTATTGTCTCCATTTACCCCTCTATGTAAAGGTCTTGTACATATGTACACTTGTGTAATAACATTGATATGCATGGTACACTCACAAATACAGGCATGCGTATGTTAACGTGTATAGGAAAAGAGGCAAACTCAATATTCCCATTTCTGAACAAAATAAGTGCCCTCTAGTGGCTGAGAAGAGCATTATCCGTGGCTCCAATTTTATTCCAAGATTCTAGCTATTGAGGAAGAAATAAGATTTCTGGGCATTGTCATTTGGCCGACATATGATACTCATTTTATTTTCCTATTAACAATATTATTTTTCTCTCTGTTATCAAAAACAATTCTGAATATTCCCTGTTTTTTCTATCAAATAAAAGTATGGAAACTCTGAATTGAGGTCTCTCCATCGCTGAGGAGGTGTCACTGAGGAATTCATGAAACAGAATGCCCTTGGACTCCCCAGTGTATGATGGCCTCTCATTTTTATTCATGTGAACAAATCCCTGGGGACCCAGTCAAAAAGTCGCATTGTTTCCACTAACCCATAAGACTACAATAATATTTCTAAAGATCTTGAAGACTGTTAGCAGTCCACCTTGTGGTGATATTTTATTTGTGCTGAAATGTGATATTTTATTTGTATGTCAATAAATAAAATTTGCCTGGAGATCAGAGGTCAGCGAGTCACAAACAGAAGTCAGGCAGTGGTAGCCCATGCCCTTAATCCTACCACAGGGCAGGCAGAGTCTCTGTGTGGTCAAGGACACAGCCAAGCATGGTGACACACGCCTTTAATCCCAGTACCAACCATAGAGCCCTGGAGGTCTGTATAGACAGGCAGTGACAAGGAAGTGATGTGGCCGGGCTTAGAGCCAATGAGAAGGCAGAACAGGAAGGCAATAAAAACACAGGTTAGATGGGAAAAATCTCTCTTTGGGGAAGCTACTGCTGGTGGTAAGCTAAGGCTAGTTGTGGCTATTGCTCTGATCTCTTCAGTTATTACCTCTGTATTTGACTCTGTGTTTCTTATTTAATAAGACTGTTTAGAAATTTGTCCACACCATCTAATCTCCTTATTTTACAAATGAGAATGCAGAAGCTATAATAGATGAGGTGGCCTGAAGAAGGCCATGCAGGGAACTCCTCTTATTCCTGAGATTAGAATTTGTTCTCCTAATTCCTTCAGTATGTCTCTACCAAAGGTCAGACATCAGATCATGTTCAGGTTCAATAGGCAGAGGAGATGTATGGCAGGAAGCAAAAGCCTCTCAAATCACCCCAAACCCATATTGACATGGTCATATTCTGCAGTATACCAAAGTCAACAGCTGTGGAGGATCCCTGGTCACTAAACAAACTCCAGAGATGGTGCAGTTGACTAATAGGTGTGGGGGAGAACATGGGATGCTGTCGACAAGAAGTTCTGGAAACTCTACCTTCTTACAGGAAAGACCTGATTTGTTTCAGTCCAGTTCGTTTTCTGAGGTACATCATGTCTGGTTCCTCTGGTCAGTTCATGTCTGGGTAGCATCCGAAGTGGGTGACTTTAGCTTCAAATGCTAACATTCCTCAACCTCATCCTACACAAAAAGGCAGGCGCTGGCCTGCAACCCGCTTAAACTGCAGAGCTTCCCAGTGCATAGGAAAGTCAGGGGAGGGCAGGGGAGTTCCTGGCAGCTGGAGAACCAGAAATTCATCCAATGGGAGGAAAAGGATAGGATGTTCCTGGTAGGGTGAGCCCCAACAATAACAAGAGTAACTGTTTCCCCTGCTCTGCCTACCCCACATTTCATTGAAAATTGTAGATGAGAAAAACAAAAGATAGTACCAAGCTGTGGGCATCAGAATGCCCCCAGCAAAGCGTCTTCACAAAGCACCTGTAATTTCTCTTAGAAATCGGATTTCAGTTCAATGTTGGGGTGAAGGGGAGTCACAAAGAAAAAGAGTAAAGTAATTAGATGGTGAATATTGATTGGAAAATTTATGACAAGAACTTCCAACATCATTCTCGCCTAAGGATGTAGTGGACAGCTGTTGGAGCCGTGCCCTGAAGCACCGCCCCTAGTGACACAGCTGTAGCTGTTACACCTGCCTGTGACCTTGAGGGACCTACCCTTGGGGTGTGGCCACCAGGGACCTTTAAGACTTGAGATGCATGTATGCCCTCGCTCTGGGCTACCTCCTGGTTTTGGATGCTGAGATCTTGGACCGAGTCGTTCAGCATGGGACAGAGCTCAGCTCGGCTCTTGTCACCTTATCTCATGTGAAGCATATCCTTCATCACTTACCTCAGTCTCTCTGTCTATGAAGTAAGGGATGAGAGCTTCGCCAGTTAGTTCTAGGGTGGCCTCCCAGGTCTTATGGTCAAATAATAGTACTCTTTTCCCAAGATTCTCAAAAAACTTTAAAATTGTCTCTCTCCCAATGTTCCTTCACACCTTATTTAAATAAATAAGAGGGAAAATATACCACAAAGAGTGGCGGGGTTCACTGCCCCTCCAAAAGTTAAAAGGATAATTTGCTATAAACTCCACCGTTGTTCTTCTGCCCGGTTGCTAAAAGGAAATACTTTTGCCACTTTGAATGGCATGGTACCACATTATGCCAAATCGTTTTGAGGTCCTGTCCACTAAATGTCTCCTAGTCACTGTGGCAGCTTTCCCTACATCTACTATTCAAGGCCCTCAGGAAACAGCAGTATCCTAGATTCAAGCAAAAGAGTCAGTACCCAAGAAGAAGGGGAGTAGGGTGATTATCCTTGAACCATCTGTTTTGTTGTATTTCAGATCTGATTGGGGGAAATTAATGTGAGACAAATTCATAGCAAAGGCATCTTCTCTGTCATGGTTCATTATCATTTCTTTTTTTGATTTTTTTTAAGATTTATTTATTTATTATGCATACAGTGTTCTGCCTGCATGTGTCCCTGCAGGCCAGAATGTGGTCCCAGATCTTATTACAGGTGGTTGTGAGCCACCATGTAGTTGCTGGGAATTGAACTCAGGATCTCTGGAAGAGCAGCTAGTGCTCTTAACCACTGAGCCATCTCTCCAGGCCCCTATTGTCATTTCTTCAGGTTGTGCCGGCCCACTCCATCACCACCCTCCCCTTATATTTCAGCTCTCAGGTAACAGAGCTGGTAACAGGAACTCTTTGTCCGCTTGTTCTCTCCACCAGCTCTTCGTCCACTCTTTCCCCATTTTTACCTGGCAGAATATCCTGCAGGACTCTGTAGGCAAAAGAAGCACCAACCCGTATAACCAAAGAGCGGGCATCATTGTCTTCCACACAGCTGATATTCTTGCTTCTGTCAAAATAAATGAAAAGGCAACACGTCTCCAATCTGAAGCTCTTATCGCACCATGCCCCTACAGACACAGTTCCCCCGTGAGACCGGACTCCATCTTGAGTACTGTCTACGCCGCTCTCTCTGGCCAGCAGTGGGGGCCTCCCCACCTCCCCACCCCATGTCCGACCACGGTCACGGTCATGGCCGGGAGGCTCCAGGTGGAAGCGCCAGTCCTGCTCTCTGCTCTCTCTCTTGTTGATTTGCATGGCACGCCTCACGTGGGAATCCCGCTAAACAAAGCTGCTTGATGGATTTCACCTGGCCTACAAGCTCTAACAAATAACAGCCTGTGTTCCGGCAGTGGGAATGACAGCTCATGCCCCGGGTTGGAACAGGGCTGAGAACTGTGTAGGTGGCTACAGAAGATGAGCAGGGATTCTTGTGGATAAGCTTGGCCTAGAAATACCTTTGAAGAATAAGTGCTGGGCTTATCCCCTTATCTCTCTCCATCTCAACCCGAGAGGTGTGTCTCCCTGAGTAAACAGTGATTTCTGCGATGATATGTTCTCGTTAAGTCTAACAGAAATGATAACAAAAGTAGAGCGATCGCTTGCCATCGCCAGCAGTGTTGGGATGTGACGGGCATTCGATACACTCAGTAATACACCCGACAGAGGAAGAGAAAGGATGAGGAGGACAGGAAGAGAGGAAAGAAAGAAGGAAATGTGGGGGGAAGATCTGACAAAATGCATAAGGGACACAAAGGATCGAATAGATTCGAGGGTTCACCTGAGAATATTAACATTAAATCTTGCTATTTTCATCCTGAGTGAGATAGTAATTGAAAGATGTTAGATGTCTGCACTCCTAGATAAAAGGACTTGCATGATCAGAATTCACTGTATGCATGAATGAAAATTGCATGTATAAATCCATGGTTATGCATTATTAATACATGTTCATATAAAGCTTTAAAAAAATAAGATTCAACATGTACCCAAAAGCATGTGCCCCTCCCACCATGATAGATAGTTGGTAGATAGAGAGGTAGACGGGCAACAGATAAATAGATGATACACAGATTTACAGGCAGATAGATGATAGATAGATAGATGATAGATAGATAGATAGATAGATAGATAGATAGATAGATAGATAGATAGATAGGTAGATAGGTAGATAGACAGTTGTAGATAATAGATTATAGATCAATTTGATAGATAAATAGATGATAGATGATTGTAGATGGTAGACAGATAAATAGATAGGATACATATATGCATAGATGATTGATAGATAGATGATAGATAGATAGATGATAGGTTATTGATAGAATAAAATTCAGAAGACTTGGTTGTTATTGGAAAACCCTAGAACAATCATAATAGTTGATTTTTAGCTACTTGACCACCCTTAGCCAAAAAGAATTCTTCTACCCAACCATGCATCATATACAATGTCATTACTTAAATGATGAAATTATATTAATTTTTAAATTCATGTTTTCTGCCCTGAAAGATTAATCTAGCAGAAATTCCACTAAAAAATCCAATAAAAATATTTACAGCACATCTTTCAGCATTCTGTTAGTACATTTATGGCCCTCACACAAAAGGACAAACATACTGCCCATTGCCTTTAAATGGCGATGCAAAGGGGCAAATAATTCCCAATAAACTCACAGCTATTTTTACATCTTTTATTTCATCCTAAGGCACTCAGATAGATAATGGCTCCCTATGAAAAGCATGCTAGTGATCTGTCAGACCATCACCAAGGCCATCATTATTCTGAGCACACTTAGTATAACAGAAACATTAAAGCTGTGGATTAGTTTGCTGCCATAATTCTGAGAAAACCTAAAAGGAAAACTAAATATTTCTGAATTAACTTTCTCTTTAAATTTTGTCATCAGTATGAGATACAGCATAGTAGTAGCATATTTGCAAGGCTGCAGGTTCAATCTTTAGCCCCCCCTCTC